CCTCAGGGCCTTGCCCTTTATTATCTTTGCTTCCTCTGTTGTATCCTAACAGCTGTTATTTGAGGTGAAAGTGAAAGTCACTCAGCCATGTCTGACTCTTTGCGACCCCATGGACTATGCCATACAGTCCACGGGATTCTCCAGGCCAGAATACTGGAGCGGGTAGCCTTTACCTTCTCCAGAATCTTCCCAACCCAGGGATCAAACCCAGGTCTCCCGCATTGCGGGCGGATTCTTTACCAACTGAGCCACCAGGGAAGCCCAGGAATCCTGGAGTGGGTAGCCTATCCCTTTTCCAGCGGATCTTCCTGACCCAGGAATTGAACCGGGATCTCCTGCTTTGCAGGCGGATTCTTTACCAGCTGAGCCACCAGGGAAGCCCCGTTTGAGGTGAAAGCAACTTCATTCCCTCGGTGTCCGTGTGCCCAGCGTGGGCTGCGCTTTCATTCAGCGTCTGTTGCCCTGATGCTGATGAGGATGCGTACACAAGGCTCCCATGTTGAGTTTTGCTGACGTAGAAAATATGCATTCCGTGCCCAGGCTGGCCTGTCTTTCCAGCAGGCCCGTTGCTGAGAGCCCGTTGACGGGGGGCTGTGTGTCTTTCCTGTGTTGGCAGGTGAGGGGCTAATTAATCAACACACCTGGATTTGGGCTTCGTCCCGGGGTCAGGGTTGCAGAGGCTTCATTGCAGTAGTAGAGGCAAAAGACCTGTCAAGTTTCTCTCATTCCCTCTTTGTGTGGAATTGAACCAGAGCAGCTGCGACCTGAAACAGACTGGAAAAAAGCCTGGGGTTCACCGACTGACTGATCCGGCCCTGGGGAGACTTTGAGCACTTTACTCTGCATCTGCCAGGCTCAGGGGTCAGGCTGGCGCCTTCAGTTGTGAGCGGTGCTGTGGGCACCCAGGCCAGGTCCAGGTGTGCCCCTGGCTTTGGGGACCCTGGAGCCCCGCCACGCCCTCACAGGCTCCCCTCTTGCCCTGGCAGGCCCTTTGTGACCTCAGGCACCTGCGCTGTCTTCTTTGGGGACTCACTGTACATGAGCAGCGGAGAACCAGAGTGAGGTTCTCCCCACGGTAGGGAGGGAAGTGATTGCCGTGGGGGGCCTGCAGAAAGGCGGTGATTGGTTTGAAATAGGCAGGGTGGAGGTTGGCTGTTCTCAGAGGTCTTTGCAGAAACTCCACTGTGGTTGATGTTCTGCCAAGAACAAGCAGAACAAAGCACAAACAGTTCTCTGACTCTGGAGCAGAAGCTTCGAGATCAGGCAGCTCCAGGGCGGCGCCAGCACTGGGGGATCTCTGACCCCCCTTCTTTATTATTTTTTAAGCTGTGTACTTGGAACTAATTATAGGCTCACGAGATGTTACAGAAAGCTCGCAGGGCTGGCCCCAGCCGGTGGTGTCGTCCAGCATGGTGTCGGAGGCACCGTGCCGCAGACCTGCCTCCCTGGGCCGCCAGCCTCCACACGTGCCCCCTTGTCCATGAGGACGGGGGCGGCCGGGAGCGCCGTGGGTGTGTGGACCCCCCCACCTGACCTGAGAGCCCCGCCTGGCCTGTAGCAACCCAGGGAGGAGGAGGAGTCCTGGGAATGGTTTAGAGTCTTTCCCCAGCATTCCCTCTGTGCAACCAGTTTGTTTCCAGGTGAATCAAGTCTTGTTACTTGGTAAGGTTTCTCTTCTAAGAACACAAACCTTCCCCGAGAAGGAGCACAGTATCCTTCACCTGTTTGTTACAAAGTATCTTGGAACTCTGTTAATGATTAGAAGGAAAAAAGTTATTCAGAGTAACTAGAGTGAGCTCTTGACTCGGGAGCAGTGTGCAGCATTCTGGCTCCTAAGGGGACAGGCAGCAGAGCCTCGGGCCAGTGCTGCTCCGGCCAGAGACACCCCTGGCCCGCCCTGGCACACAGTTATCTCACAGGAGCCGAAATGGCTCTTGAAGATGCTGCAAGGTAGAGCTCCGTATTTCACATTCTGGCATGGTTGATTACTGGCCCCAGTATCAAAACGCCGTGTGGACAGGCTCTGCCTGAGGTGAGGGCCGTGGCCTTTGGTGTTGCTCACAGGCATGACCTGAGGCTTGGGGCCTGCGCGGCTGCACGGCAGGATGGAGAGCCTCGCGTGTGACACCTGCCTCTGCGGGGCTAGTCTGTGCGTGACTAGCAGGGCTCCGCCTGCTGTGCTGGCTCCGGACTCCTCCAGGGCCCTCGGGGGAGGGTGCAGGGCTGGAAACAAGGCCAGCCCAGGGGGTGGGCGGTCCACAGCGGATGGACAACTGGAGGGGTGACCAGCTTGCCCCAGGAGCGTCCCACTGAGAGAGCCCGAGACAGAGCCTGGTGCCAGCACTGACTGCCCCCGGCTGTGAGCCTGCCGAGCCCCAGCCACCTCGGGTCCCCGGTGCCCACCAATTTCTGAGTTTGGCTCTCCAGCTCCCCTCCATTCTGGCACTGTCTGCATGACTTAGCCACTGAACCATGCAAACAGCAACCTCTTTCCAACAAATTCTCTTTCTACCAACATTAGCTGAGGTATTTTGGCAAACAGGACCCTTGGGTGGCGTGGCGAGGTCGGACAGTCACCTTGGACGGGACACCAGAGGGCCCGCACCCGTCATGGGCCGCAGCTCTGGGGGCAGGCAGTAGCCTCCTGAGCACGGTTTGTCATTAATGGTCTTTAGATGCTGGGAAGGCTTACGTGTAAGAGAGGGATTAGATGTGACTCCACAGCACAGAATCTGGGCCGGGAGCTGGTCACAGGAGGCAGATTTCAGCTTGCAATACTGCAGGTTCCCAGCAGCCAGGCCTGTGCGTCCCCGCCCTCTGCAGGCCCCACACCATTCCTGTGCCGCGCCCGCTGGACAGCATTGTGCTCAGTCTCATTTAATACTTTCCTTGAGTCAACTCACTTTTTCTGGGTTAAATACGCTTGACGAGAACTGCCCGCAGGGTCGGGGACACAGAGCTCGAGAGGGGGCCGCATCCCAAGTCCCCACGGCCGGGGGGTGGAGGGCACAGCACCCCTACCCTGACTTCCGCAGCTGTGCTGCTGCTCCAAATACCAAAGCGGGCTGAAAATGCCCGCCACTTGGCAAACGAGGTAAACCTACCAGCACGAGGGCGCCTGTTCGAAATGTCCGGCGATGACAACCTGCTTGTGAGCCGGCTTCCCAGACCCTCTCTCCTGGCGGTCTACCCCCGCTGCAGTCAGATGCTGGGCTGCGAGGAGGCCCTGGTCAGAAGCCTTGCTCCGTTTCCTGTGTCCGGCTCATTTCCTTGACAGGCTCACCTTTTCACAATGTGAAAACTCCTGTCTCAACATTGAGAAGGCATACACGTCTGATTTTTAAGGTGTGGCAATGTACGCGTAACATGGACCTTACTATCAGTGACATTTAGTACACGCGTGAGGTCAGCAGCCATCTTTACACCACAGGACAAAGCAACAGCCGTTAGCAGTCGCCTCCCCTGCCTCTGGCACGCACTCACCTACTTTCTGCCTCAGGACTGTTCTTTGGACATTGTGTATAAATGAAGCCGTTCAGTGTGTGCCCTGTGTCTCCGTGGTCTCACCGAGTGGGCGTTCACAGCTTTGTAATACTCCGTCACGCGGGCAGGCCTGTGCTGCTTACCCACCGCCTGTAGACACACTGGGGTTTTTCTAACGCTGAAGCTCTGAGTGTCTGCGTGCCGGTGCTCTGGGTCTCCTGGGGGGACGCCCAGGAGTGGTGCCTCTGGGCCAGACTGCCGGCCCGTGTCTGGCCATCTGAGGAGCCAGCAGGCTGCCCCGCAGCAGCTGCCGCGATGCCCGGCCCCCGCCGCACACGACTGTTTACCCGGGGTCCCCACCTCCTCCTCCACTCTTACATCGTTCGCTTTATTACTAAGGCCGCTCCAGTGGGTGTATATACAGGCTTTACTATATAGATAGAGAAAAGCCGTTAAAGGGAGAAAGTAAAAAGTTTATACAGGGAATCGGCGCTCTCTGTGGCCTCCTCCCGCTTCCCTGACCCACCCCGTGGGAGTCCGTCCCACCGTCCTGTTTTTAACCTCCATCAGGGCCTCCCTCTCAGGTAGATGAGGATTTCACCCAGTCAGATCCTGTGATCCCCTGGGTCCTCTCAATGTGATCTGTGTCCATTAGGACCCTGGTTTGGCTGTTTAAAAAGGATCAAAATAACAAATACCTGGCCTTACACAAGACAGAAGTGTGGGACTTCCCTAGTGGTCCAGCGGTTTATCTCCACTGCAGGGGGCTCGGGTTCAATCCCTGGCAGGGGAACTGAGCTCCCACGTGCCAAGAGGCAGGGCCACAAACTAAAACAACAGCAGTGTGTTTCCTTCTCACACAACGAAGAGCTAGGGGCTTGGTGGTGGTGGTTTGCATCTGTCAGAGGTTCACCTCTTCAGAAGGGTTTTCCACCGTGTTTTCCGAGCCAGCCTCCCCAGGTTCCCTTCCTGCCCACACCTAGTGCACTTGGCGAGGGGGTAGGAAGGAGGGAGGTGGTCCCCACCCTCGTCTCCAGCAACAATGAACTTGCTGTGCTGTGTGTCAGAAGCTATATGTGCGCTCCTCGGGCCTTTACCGCTCTGAGCCTCAGCCTCCTGAACACTGTTCCCTTTGGCAGGGACGAACGCAGGCCCAGCAGGCAGGTCTCACCCAACGCCCGGGTGACACCGTGAGTAAGCACAGCCCCTCCCTGGGGCCTGGCCCTCTCTCGGGGCAGGCAGGAGGCCCGTCAGAGGTGCCTCAGTTCATGGTTAACGTTTAACATGTGCTTGGCGACAGTCTCACCTGGCTGGCCTGCCCGGGTCAGCAGGCGGGAGCCGTGGTGCCTGCTGCCTCTGAGACCACGGCCTCCCGGTTCAGAGCCCTTCTCCAGAGGAGCCGTGATGCTCTCTGTTGCCTGTCCTGGCTGATGGGCCACGGCCACGCCAGCTGCTGACCGCCTCTCCTTCTGTCGCCACCACAGTGGCCGGGAGGTGAACTCAGGGATGTGCACACGATGACGGACGGCAAGGACTTGGAGGCCGAGATCCACCCGCTGAAGAGTGAGAACAGGAAGGTGCCAGAGAACACGGGGGGCCCGGCAGGAAAGGAGCCCCACGGGACGCCAGCCCCGCAGACCCGCCTCTCGCGCTGCCGCACCGCGGCCTTCTTCCTCTCCCTGTTCGCCTGCCTCCTTGTGGTGTTCGTGGTCTCCTTCATCATCCCGTGTCCAGACCGGCCGGCGTCGCAGGGGGTGTGGAGGATCGATTACAACGCGGCAGGTGTGGGCGGCGGGGGCGCCAAGGGACCCCGGGTGTCCTGGAGTCTCGGAAACGGGAGTGCCCTCGGGATGGTGGATGGGGTCCGGAAAAGAAAGGGCCCATTTGGTTTCTTGAAAGATATTAGTACAAGACAGCACCTGGCAGAATAGATGCAGAAATGGCCATCCCAAAGGTGAGAACCAGGCTGCGGGTCTGCTGCTGTCCTCCTGAGCTTCCCTCATAGCCTAGTTGGTAAAGAATCTGCCTGCAGTGCAGGAGACCCCGGTTCGATTCCTGGGTTGGGAAGATCTGCTGGAGAAGGGATAGGCTACCCACTCCAGTATTCTTGGCTTCCCTGGTGGCTCAGCTGGTAAAAAATGTGCCTGCAGTGTGGGAGACCCCAGTTTGATCCCTGGGTTGGGAATATCCCCTGGAGAAGGGAAAGGCTACCCACTCCAGTATTCTGGCCTGGAGAATTCCATGGACTATATTGGCTGTGAGGTCACAAAGAGTTGGACATGACTGAGTGACTTTTGCTTTCACTTTTTGGTGGAATAAGGGAAATTTCTTCCATGAGCCCCATTTACAGTCGGTTCTGTTCAGAATTTGGTGCTTAATTTTCACAGTGAGGAGTAACATGTGCTTCTATGTTGGTTTTTGTCAGGTTTACTAAGATAATTCATGTATCATAATATCCACCTGTGTTGAGTGTGTGACTCAGTGACTTTTAGTCAGTTTAAGGCCTGAGCACCTGGGCAGCTGTCTTTGCATCCAGCATTGAGACCGTCCCCTCATTCCTACTTGGCTCCTCACCGTGGCCTGTCCCCACCACTATCTCCTGTCTGCATGCACTTGCCAGTCCTGGACATTTCACATGAATGAAATCCTGTAAGACGCATCTTTGCTTCTCTCACATGAGTTCATCCATGTGCTCACGTGTTCCTTTGTGTGGATGGAGTGTTCATCCACTGACCAGCTAGTGACCATTTGCATCGTTTCAGTTCCTGACTTTCATGAGTAACACTGCTGTGAACATTTGTGTACAAATCCTTGTGTGGACGTGTCCTGTTTTTCTTGGGAAGACCGGCAGGAACAGGGTTGTTGAACCTCACACTAAGTCTGGTTTGACTCCGGTCTCTCCCAGGCCTCATTTCATGTGCCCACCAGCCGACACTCGTGGTCTTTGCCATGTGGCCTCCCTAGTGGGTGTGAAGTGGTATCTCAGTGTGGTTCGCGTTTCCCTGGTGACTAGCAATGTTCACGTGAATTACTGGCTGGTCTTATACCTTCTGTGGTGAGCGTCTATTCATATTTTCCGGTCAAAAAATATGATTGTCTTATTATTAACACAGCATTGTTAATCAAATATACGTCAACCAAAAATTGTTAAGTTTTTTATATTAATATCTTCCAGGTACAAGTCTCCCATCACATATATGATGTGCGAATATGTGTGACTTATCTGGGGCTTGTCTTTTCATTCTATTTAGGGTGTCTACTGAAGCATGAAAGTGTTAAATTTTGAGGAGATCAAATGTATCAATTTTTTTAGTGTGGATTATGCTTTTGGTGTCTAAGAACTCTTTGCCTAAGTTAAGGCCATGAAGATTTTCTCCAGTTTTTCCCGTTCTAGTTCTCGCTCTGCCATTGAGGTCTGTGATCCATTCTGAAGTTGCCCACACCCCCACCCCACCTGCCCAGAGGGCACTCACATTTTCAGTCCCTCTGGCAGGGAGCTGCTGCTTTCTCAACTTACCCTGTGTGGTCCCCGGCTGACAGAGGGTGGGCAGCCCAGTGCCCCAGTTATGTGTCTTAAATCAGTGCTTCTCCAATAACATGTGCCTTCAATGTGCTCCCAGGGTCCTGAAATGGGAGCTCTTCACAATTCTGTCTCATTTTACTGTTATTTTTGGAGGAGAGGGTTTGTTTGCCAAGCTCTTCACCACTTAATTCTGAAAGTCTTGTGTCTTCTATTCAATTTTATTTTTGTGGTAAAATGCATATCACCAAAAAAAATTGCCATTTTAGAGTAAACAGCTGAGTGGCATTCGTTCAGAAGACCACCTGTCATCATCGCTTTTTTTCAAAACTTTTGTCACCTCGGAAGTTCTGTGGTCAATACAGGGCGACTCTCCACCCGCCTTCCCGCCCAAGCCCTCCCGCCCTCTGTTCTGCTCCGTCTCTGGGGGGACCTGTGCTCAGACCCTCGCGTGACTGGAGCTGTCTTTGTGCGACTGGAGGTGTCTCTGTGCGACTGGAGCTGTCTCTGTGCGACTGGAGCTGTCTCTGTGTGACTGGAGCTGTCTGTGTGACTGGAGGTGTCTCTGTGTGACTGGAGGTGTCTCTGTGCAACTGGAGGTGTCTCTATGCGACTGGAGGTGTCTCTGTGCGACTGGAGCTGTCTCTGTGTGACTGGAGGTGTCTGTGTGACTGAAGGTGTCTCTGTGTGACTGGAGCTGTCTCTGTGCGACTGGAGGTGTCTCTGTGCGACTGGAGCTGTCTCTGTGTGACTGGAGGTGTCTGTGTGACTGAAGGTGTCTCTGTGTAACTGGAGCTGTCTTTGTGTGACTGGAGGTGTCTTTGTGACTGGAGGTGTCTTTGTGTGACCGGCTGTCTCCACTCGAGGTTCATCCATGCTGCAGCCTGATGCAGAATTTCGCTCCTTTTTTATGGGTGAATAACAATCTGTCTTATGGATGGATCACATTTTATTTATTCTTCGGCCCATGGACACCTAGCTTATTTCCACGTTTTGGCTTTTGTAAATAATGCAGCTGTGAACGTTCCTGTACAAGTGACCACTTGAGTCCCTGCTTTCAGTTATGTTGGCTGTGCACCCAAAGAATGGAAGTGCCGGAGCCCAGGCTAATTCTGTGTTAACTTTCTGAGAAACTGCTGGGCTGTTTTCCACAGCAGCTGCTGCAGTTTACATCCCCAGGAGCAAAGGACAAGGGCTGCAGGCCAGAAACTCTGGTTTTCTTTTATTTTAATAATCGCTGTCCTAACAAGTAGGAGATGGTGTCTCATCATGGTTTTGATCTGCGTTTCCCTTATTACTAGTGATGTTGAGTGTCTTTCTGTGAGTTTATGAACTATTTGTACATCTTCTTAGGAGAAACATCTTTTCCAGTCTTTTGCCTATTTTTGAATTCGGTTGTTTTTGTTGTTGTACAGTCTGGATCCTCCTCATCAGATGCACAGTTTGCAGACGCTTCATCCTCTTCTGTGGCTCTTCTTTTCCCTCTCCCAACAGGGTCCCCTGATCAGGTCCAATTTACCTGTTCTTCCCTTTTGTTGCCTGTGCTGTTTCTTTTGTTGCTTTGCCCCATGTTTCTTTCTCTAAGAGTTTTATAGTTCTGGCTCTTCAGTTTAGGTCTTTGATCCATTTTGAGGAAATTTTTGTATCCGGGGTGAGGTAAGGGCCGCATTTCATTCTTTTAGATGTCTGGCTTTAAAGCAGGTAGTTTGTCATCTGAGTCCTTGAATGGAGGGAGGGGTAGCCCCTGTGAGTGTGGACTCCAGATCCCAGGCTGGTTAGGGCGGGCCTCGGCCCTGAGTAGAAGGTTCTGCCCAGGTGTCCTTAGCACCTGATGCCCTCTCTGGAGGGCGTGGGGTCGCCAGCCTGTGGAGGCGGCACTGCCCTGCTTCCCTCCGTGCGCGGCCGCACCCAGCTCCAGCCCCGTGGCACAGAACAGGGAGCGCCAGGCCTGGCCTGGGAACGTGGCTGGTGTTTCCTTTCCAGTCGCCTATGACTTTCTGGCCACAGAAGATGTGAACAAGGACAAGATCCAGGATATTCTCTTTCTGTATAAAAACACCAACAGCAGCCACAGCAATTCCAGCCTCTCCTGTGCTGATGAAGGTACATTTTGTTTTTATCCCAAAGCTGAGTGCTCCCTGCAGGAGGAGGAGGAGGGGTCCCTGCAGGCGGAGGAGGAGGGGTTTGGGGGAGGAAGCTGGTGAAGTCTCCTAGGCACGCCCACATCGCCCCCTCCCCGTCTGACCCCAGGGGCTCGGGGCCGAAGCCTGGGGTCACGCTGCAGCCAGCGGCTGCCCTCCCTCCAGGCTTTTCCTGTCCCTGCACCTTCGTGGCCGCTGTGTCCGGGGCCAACGGCAGCATCCTCTGGGAGAGGCCTGTGGCCCAGGACGGGGCCTTCGTGGAGTGTGGCGTCCTGCAGCCCAGGGGCAGCGCGGCGCCCTCTGCCTGCATTGTCCTTGGCAGGCCCGGCCCTCTCGTCGCTGTGGACACACTCACAGGTGGGCTGCTCCTTGCAGCGGGCCCCCTGGGCTCGAGGTCTCAGGGCTGCATGCTCCTCAGGGGCCAGCTCACCCTCCTGGGGGCGGTGAGTCTAGACAGGAGGGAAGGCACGGGCTTGGGGGCCGTGAGGAGTCACACTCCGTTGTGCGCCCCTCCAGTGCGGCTGCAGGCACCTGGGGCCAGGGGAGCCAGCTGCTGCCCACTCTCGGGACAGGTGCAGGTGCCAGGCCAGGTCCAGGGGGAGTAGGGTGTGCGCCGGTCCAGCTCGAGCCCCGAGGCGTGTACGCGCCTTAAAGACAACAGGCCCAGGTCCCTTTCCAAGGCCCTGAGGAATCCTGTGCCTTGACGCTAGGGTAGTTCAAGGTGGCACTTGCTTTATAAGCTGTGGTTTTAAGGACAGGCAGGAAAACAGAGGAAATGTTCTAAGAACACGTCTAAATACGGACATGGGCAGGTTGTACCCGGGCCCCCGCCAGCCTGCACCTTCATTCTTGCCCGGTGCATGCACGTGTGTGACCCCCGAGAGCAGGGGTGAGCCAGGCCCTGCCCAGCTGGGGGGGTCCACATCAGCCAACCTGCAAATACAGTGCGGGCAAAGGAGGGGCCTGCCGCCAGAAGGACACTGTTGACCGTGCCTGTGGGCCACCCGGTGGCCATGCACACAGCACTCAGGTCCTATGTTCTATTTCAGGGAAGACCCTGTGGAGCCAGCCCAGCAGCTTCGGGGGAAATGCATCTGTCCTGAGCCCTCTGCTCCGCGTGCCCGACCTCGATGCCGATGGGGCCCCAGACCTGCTGGTCCTCGTCCAGGAGGAGAACCAGGTACCGCCCCATCCCAGCTGTGCGGCCTCCCCATCGGGCCTCGTACCAGCTCCTGAGACTGGCAGAGAGCACTCCCTGCCAGAGCCACAGGCACAGGCGCCCCGCGTGCCCCAGCCTTGTCAGCCCTGCCCCAGACGCCCTGCCGGCGGTCTGAACCCTGTCTCCTCCACTCATGCTGCACAGGTCAATGGCTACATCTACTCGGGTGGCACCGGGCAGCAGGTCAGCCCCCCGGACAGTCTGGGTGTGGACGGAACCAGTGGCTCCATCCTCCACGTCACCAGGGCTGGGGCCCACTACGTCCTTGTCCCCTGCGGTACGTGGCACCTGCAGCCCCAGGACGGCCTCCTCCACGGGCCTGCTGGCACCCGGGTGGAGGCGGGTGTGGGGCTGGCTGTGCCTCCAGGGATGCGAGGGTCTCGCCCGCTGAGAGGGGACCAGGCTTTTCTGTGTTCCCAGGCACTGCCCTCTGCAGCCGCTCCGTGAAGGGCCTGTACGAGAAGGTCAGCGGGAGGGACAGCTCACTCAAGAGCGACCCCCTCTGGGAGGACATGCTCAGCGCCACGTCGCACAGGCTGCTTGTGCACAGGTGGGGGGAGCGAGGAGCTGTGGGGGGCACAGGCCATGTGCCAGGGCTCTAGGGTCACCCTGGGCTCAAACTCAGAAACCTGGCTCATAGAAACGGAGTAAAAACTGGGAGGAGATGTGTCCCCTCAGGCTCGCTGGTCCCTGCATCCAGCGAGGGTCTCTTGTTATCCTGAAACTGGAGAAGCAAGAAACATGAGGCTGAGCCCTGGGAGCCCCACAGACGCACTGGGAGTTGGGAGAGAGAACGTGGAGCATCCTGTCCCACCTCTGCCACCCCTGCAGCTCAGGGGCCATCCGCTACCTGATGAACGTGCCGGGGAAGGTGGGCGATGACCTGCTTCTCGTGAGTGCCGAGGCCTGCGTGCTGCTGGATGGGCAGGATCTGACGCCCAGGTGGACCTTCGGGACAACCCAGGTCCTGAGGTATGGGGTCCTTCTGCAGGGAGCCGGGCCCGCCGGCCTGTCCCCCTGCGGAGACCTGGGGACAACGCCACTGCCTGTCACCTGGTGTCACCCTGCTGGGGGGCTGAGACCCCCCCCCCTGGTGACAGCAGCCCCTCCTTGCTGCCATGCCCCCAGCCTAGGCACCTGCTCACAGAGGCCCTGCATGAGCCCCCTCTCTGCTCTCCTTCCAGAAAACCCGTTCTTGGCCACTACAAACCCAACAACCCAGCAGTGCTTGTCGAGAACGGGACCGGCTCCGACAGACAGGTCAGCAACACCTCCTCTGGCCTCAGCTCTACTCGCAGCTGGGAGTGGGACCAGGGCCCCGCAAGCCGCCCCCAGGGCTGCAACCTGTCCTCTGCCCCCCACAGGTACTGCTCCTGGACCTCGGCTCCGGGGCCATCCTGTGGAGCCAGGCCCTCCCCGGCCTCCCTGGGGACCCGCCGTCCGCCAGTCTTCCCACCGCAGACCACCGCTCCGCCTTTTTCTTCTGGGGTGTCCACAAGACAACTGGCTCCAACCAGACGGTAGAGTCTTGGGTCCTGGCTGACAGCGCGGGGCAGGCCCCGTGGTTGGGGGCGTGCAAGGAGACAGAATCCCCCTGGGGCGGGCAGAGACGAGCGGGGCTGGGAGGATGGGCGTGGCTGGGCAGCAGCCGGAAGACCCCGAGGAGGGTCAGGCGGGGAAGGGGGGCAGGAGGTGTGTGCAGAGCTGGTGCTGGCGTTTCCCAGGACCCAGGTGGACACAGCTCCAGGCGAGGCCTTGGTCGTGAGCGTTGGCCTCACCCTCCACCCCGCGCTCACACAGGAGCCCGGAGCCACTGGGCACTGCCTGTACATGCTCCACCCCACGCTGCCCGGTGTCCTGCTGGAGCTTGACAGCGTCTCTGCCCCCATCGTCGCCTTCCAGGGTGAGTGCGCCCCCCATGGGCCTGGGCCTGCCAGCTACAGGAGGCCCACGCCGGCCAGCCCCCCACCCTGACTGCTGTGTCCCCGCAGTGGTTCTGCTGGAGCTGGGCCGCCACGCTGCCTGCGTCCTCCTGACGGGCCCAGCCAGCCCCAACCCGCCCGGCCTGGTCTCCGTGACCAAACAAAAGGTGCAGGACCTCATCCTGGGCGGCAGGGTGGTCCGCCTGGCCGAGGGTGGCCCCGAGAGCGACCAGGCTGTCCGGGACCGGCTCTCCCGTCTGCGGTACCGGAGCGAGGCCTAGACAGGCCGACAGAGCCCACAGGGAGGAGGCTGCTGCAGTCACACGTCCCGGGACGTCGGTCAATCACTGACTCAGTTTATGTGCTAACTCCTGACCTGGCCACTCTCTGCACGGGTCCTGCCATCCCAGGGATACTCAGGTCCTCACTCAGCCCCCCTGTCCGAGCCCCTCGGGGTTTCCCTGGGCAGGGCCCCAGCCGACAGCAGCTCACCCTTGCCCCTCCACGCCTGGCCGGAGACACAGCTGCCTAAGTCCCCTCCCCCTTCCGTCTGAGCCTCGCCTTCTCCACACTGTCTCCCGGGGTCACGGCTCCTCAGCGGGTGGTAGGCCACTGCAGATCCCAACATGGTTGTGATGAGTTACCTGGACAGCCCGTGACGGGGCCACGAGGAAGGGGCCTGGGAGGAGGACGTGCTGTGTGGAGCTGAGTGCTCTGAGGACCTGGCCCGGCATCTACCTGGCTCCACGTGCTCCCTGGATACACACCAGGGCTCCTTGTCCCTCGGGGGTCCCTGCAGCCATGACTGTGGCCAGGGGCTGGCCCCTCCTTCCTGGTGCTGGGACGTCCCCCACCCCAGCTGGTGTCACCTCTGTGCCTTGTTTGCCCCAGACTCCCTGGTGCTGTGGGGCCCCGCCATGACCAGACAAGAGCACGCAGCCTGATGGCCCTGGGCACCTCAGGAAGAAATCAGAATAAACACTGGTTTTGCACCATCGGGAAAGCCCTATATGTGCCTGTGTCTCTGCTGAATCGGTGGGAAGGGCGTCTGGGGGGGTGGGCGTCCAGCACCCAAACTGGCCGACCAGGTGTGGTGGGCGTCCAGCACAGCCTCCAAGTGCATCTCGGGTCTGCACCCCGCCCTGCTCTCCCAGAACAGGGCAGGAGCCTGGTCTGTCGACACACTTACCCCTCTGGGACAGGCAGGGGCGTCCCCCAGCCACCCAGCAGGAGGAGCCCAAGCAGGAGCTTCAGTGAGATGCAGGTCTGGGCACAAAGTGATGGGGCTGTTGTGGGGAATCCTACAGGGATTTCCTAAAAGCACTTACACGACGAGCCTGCTTCTAGAACCACCTCTGCTGCTTCTTGCAAAAGCCTCGGACATGGCAACGAGGCTGGAGTTGAAGGGGTGCATGCCTTGTCCCTGTGAGAAGCCCAGAGCAGGGCCCACACCACAGAGAGAGGAGCCTGCCCTGGGCAGCGAGCAGCCTGCAGGCCTCAGGACAGTGGGCCGGCGGCCAGGAGTCAGGGCCCAGAGACAGCCTCCCCCGTGCACCGGCCCTGTGAGTGAAGCTGCCATGCCCGTGGCCACTGGGCTCCCGGGAGCTGTGGCCGGCATTGTGCTCCCCACAGGGGTGTCTTCAGACACAGCTGGCCCTGGAGACCTGGGCTCAGCACCGCCCACCCCCCCCCCCGCAGAGAACTCGGGCATCCGTGTGCCACCAGAGCACAAGGTTCTCGCCAGGTCTCCCCCGAAGCCCAAACCCCAAGTCTGCAGCCTGAGCTGTACCCAAGGCCTGCGGCCTCCGCATACGGGACTCTGAACCCACAGCCTCTGACACCCAAACCGCCCACTGCTCACTTCCTCCCTCAGCAGCACTCGCCACCGCCACGCCACGTACACAGGCACTACCACTGGGACCAGAGCAGCGCGGGCTCAGAGTGAGGGCCCGGAGGCCTTTATTTCTGTGCCAGAGGCAGGAGGGTGTGGGCCGCCCTGAGGGCGGTGGCACTGCCCCTCCAAGCAGCAGCTGGACCTTCACCCGAGTCTGGGGGGCCCTCCTGGTGGGGGCCCGGCTGTCTTTCCCCAAAAGCTCTGCCACCCTGGCCGTGAACCAGGCCCGGCTGTCAAAGGAGCAGCGAAGCTGGAGAAGCTGGAGCCATCTCTGCAGGTGGGGGAGAAGCCGTGGAGGTGGGGAGGCTGCGGCCCAGCGGGCGGGCAGGTCCCCCTGCAGGCTGGCGCCCCCTGCTGGCGACCACCTGACTGCGCCCAGAGTCTCTGGCCTGGTGGGCGCCAGTACAGGACGCCGGGAGCTACCATCTCCTCTCAGCGCAGGGCACCCCTGCCCTGGGAATCAGCCCCCCCAGGGAGGGTGTGACAAGGGAACAGGACGCTGCTGCAAGGCCAGGCACTCAGGGCCCGCAGGGACGCCTGCGCGGCGGGTCTCAGCAGCTGCCAGGGCCCCAGGAGAGAGCAGCTGACGAGGGCCAGATGGTGCCCCCTCCCCCAGGGCACCCTAGGTCTCCCCATCACCATCCCCACCCACGGGCTCCCCAGAGGCGGAGGCAGGAAGAAGAGCAGGGCTGGGGCTGGAGTGCCGGGGCTTCCGCATGAACGGGAACACCCTGTGGGCGAGAAGGGGCCTGAGCGATTGGCCGCCGGCCCCCACCCGCCGCCCCAGGCACCACCTGGCTCACCGCCGCTTGGTCTCCAGGGGCACCACAGCCTCCGCCAGCAGGTCTCTGTACAAGTCTGACTTCAAGAAGCGCGGGTAGGAGTCCTGTGAGAGACAGCACCCCGCCCTGAGCCCTTCCTGCTCCTGCTCAGCCAGCAGCCTCAGACAGGGCCCCCCCAGACCAGCTCAGACTCAGGAAGACCATCCCCCATCGGGGCAGGAACCTCCAGCCACAGGGACCCGGTGTCCCTGGTTCTCTGGGACCTGCAGAGAGGGTGAGGGCGTGGGCCAGGATGACACAGGATTCAGCAAAAAGGGACAGGAACCTATGAACCCAGCTGCTTATGTTTTAAAAAGAAAAATAAATACGTATTTACATTGTTAACTTCAGGTGGCAGAACAGGGATATAAACAAGATTCAGTGGAAGGTACTTTGCTTTGTAGGTTAGATTCTGAAGCAGTGCAGATGTTTCACATGATTATAAAATAAATAAGTGATTTAAACAAATATTGAAAGTGAAGCAGGGACAGGTGAAGCTGGGTGTCAAGTGGGCAACATCACCCTGACCACACATAAGCAAGCATCTGAGGAGCTACAGCCAAAGGACCAAGAAAAAAAAAACAGTAAACACTTTCAGTGACTTTGAATGGTAGTGCTGTGATCCTCGGTTCAGCTACTGAGTGAATCTAGAGGAAAAGTCGAGTGATTATAATGGTACCACTGAGAACCCAGATTTTCAGAAGGGGTGTGAGGAGAGAGAGGTTAAGGGAATGCTATAATCGTGATTCTAAATTAGAAGCTTCAGTATGAACTCCTGGTGTTTTACTTAAAACACACCCTGATTCTGTCCACCAGAAGGCCTGGTAACCATGACTACCCCTGACGCTACAGACCAGTCTGGTTTGCAGGTCAAGGCTTCGGAACGCCACTACAGGGGGAAGGCTGAGGCCTCGGGGAACTGCTGGCTCTGGGGCAGGATGGCCCCGTAGAAAGGAAGGAAGCACCACAGGTTTCAGACACATCACAGGACTCGAGAGCAGCCAGCCGAGAGGGGGTTTCTGCACCACCTGTAAGATGAGGGGGCCAAAACCCATCCCATATGGTGAAAATGTGAATGGACAATGGCATCAAAAACATCCCGACACCATCAACTGCTCTCAGCAGATACCAGGGCTCCAACTGCCTATTCTGAAAAGTGGTAGAGGAGGAGCCAAGTCCATCTCTCCGTCCTGTCTCTCCTCTACGATCGGCACCGCTGGGCCAGCAACGCAGAGAGGAGGCAGTGTGTGAGACTGTGTGAGGCTGTGTGAGGTGTGTGAGGCCAGGGTGGGGCTTCTCCACGAGAAGAGACGGCTGGCCCTGCACCCCTCCTGAGTGGAGAACATGCAGCCACCACCTGTGCAGCAGCAATAAAGACCCAGCACAGTGAAAAATACAAATAAATTTAAGATCCCATGTGCCACAACTGGAGATCCTACTTGCCATAGCTAAGACCCGCTGCAGTCAAATAAATAAATAAAAATAAAAAATATTTTAAAAATACAAAAAAAGGAAATACCGTTGGTGTTTGGGGTGTGATGCTGGCCTCTGTGGCCACACTGAAAGAAAAGAGGTGGGCATGTCCTTGAAGGGAACTTCCTGCAACACCTACAGACAGGGAGTCTGGAAATGGCTTTCAAGTCTAGGGGGGCAGTAGGCGGGAAGAGTGGTGAGTCTGGACAGGCCTGGGCTGCAGTCTGACCCCAGGTCCCGAGGGGATGGGGACACCCACCTTCTTCATCAGCAGGTAGATGTGCCGCTGGGCATCGTCCAGCACGTGGCGGTGGGGCTGGCTCAGGCCCGCCAGCGTCTGCTCCATCGTCCGGCTGTCGATGTTGACCCAGCGGGCTGCGCCGGGGGCCAGGAACTGCCTGTGCGCAGGGCGGGGAGCCTGGAGGATCAGGCCCTCGGGACTGCCCACGGCCGCCACCCCAGCCCGCAGCACTCACTGGTACACTGCATCCACCAGGGCGGGGACCTGGGCCTGGCCTCCGTGGCGCAGCTCCTCACAGGCCTCCCAGAAGCTGAGGTTCTCAGCTGGGGGTCCAGGCACCAAGTCAGGCCCACCACAGGCTGCTGGGCACCTGGGGTCGGGGTGGGGCGGTGGGGTCGGGCAGGCAGCAGGGTGGGGGCTTCTCACCACTGAACTCTTTCCCGAGAAAGTCCATGAAGTGGGCCCGTCCCACGGGGTCTTCCAGGAGCTCCCGGAAGCTGAAGGCCCACTGCTCCACGCGGAGCCTGGTGGGCACAACCGCGCTGGTGGAGGGCAGGTAGATCAATCTGGGAGGCCTGTGAGGAGCTGTGCCACAGAGGCCAGGCCCGGGTCCCCGCCCTGGGTGGGCACATCTGCACCCCTGGCCCACCTGCTCACCTGGGTGCATTCATGGCCCAGTAGGCATCATCGTCTGTGACCCAGGGGTTGCTGGGCAGGCACCCCGACATGATGGGGTCGTGCGGCCCATGCTGGCTGCTAAACTTCAGGTACCTGGGGGTGGGGCGGTGCCAGGGCCGCTGCAGGGGGGCTGTGGGGACCAGGGCGCAGGGGAAGGGTCTGGGCTTGGGGTGCCAGCCGCCACCCCCATCCCACTCACGCCTCGAGGCAGGTGGAGGACTTCACGCGGGCTCGGCCCAGTGCCCTGCGCAAGCACTCGACCTAGGACAGGAGGCCTGTGAGGGGGGCTGGGCCTGGAAGCTGCCAGCCCCCCCGCCCTCTCCTCCCCCCACCTACCTCCCGCCTGTAGAAATCCACGGTCTTGGTCTGCAAAGGGCCGGTGGGCTGCAGTTAGAAGGCAGGCCCCTCTGGGGCCTGATGTCCCACCCCTTCCCTGCCCCTCAGAGCCCCTGCCTCTGTTGCAGGGTTTGACTTTTCAGGAAGCTCCCTGGGACCCCGTCTGGAGGTTCTGGGTGTTGACCAAGCCCCTGGATGCTCAGAGCTGCCTGAGGTTCCTCAACTGTCACCACTTCCTACTTAAACATACCACGGGGAGGGGAGAGGCACGGCACCCCCAGGACACCTGTGATGCCGACCTTCCCTCTCAGTTGACTCTGATGGAAGTGATAAAACCGTGGTCACAAAGTATGATTCTTAAGTCGGGAAGACCAGAAGAACCTCCCCTGTTGCCGGTGTCATGGGCTCTGACTGAGGACTCAACAGTGATCAAGTTCAGCCGTGTGTCCTGGTCTAGTCATGCTCTGGAGAGTGTGGTTCCTTCTGCCCGGGTCCCTTGGGCCCCCAGCCCTGCCCACCCCCCCAAGGCCCTGCAGACCCTGATGCTGCCCTGGTTGGGGGACGCCCCCCCACCATAGGGCCCACTGTACTCACTTGCACCCAGGGCAGCAGGTGGGAGGCAAGAGAGAACGAGTTAGCAGGGGGCTGGGGTGGGGGCAGTAAGGCAAGGAGCAGAGCAGAACAGCTGAAGTGACCAAGTGCCGGGGCTATCTGATGGATAGGTGGACGGGCAGTCCACAGCAGGCCCCTGCAGTGAGGGGGCGGCGGAGGTGGGGGCACATGGGGCAGGGTTGGGGGCGGGGGCGTGCCCGCAGGGTCCTCACCTTCGGCACTCGCCCGGCTGTGCAGGGGCCCCGCCCTGGCCCCTGCTCCAGCACGCTGGGGGCCCCCGGCTGCAGAGATAAGAAGTGGGTGGGGCACAGCTCAGGCAGACTGTGGAGACCCTCCTGACCCCTGACACAGAAGCTCCGACGTGTCACCCCCACCAAGGAAACGTGCTCAGAGGAGCCTGGGCCCTGTCTCCCACCTGCCCACCCGTTCCCAGGGCACCCTGCCTGCCCAGCCCACCCTGTTTCCTCTCCAGCCCTCACCCAGCTCCTCCAGTGAAGCCCACGATCTGTCCCAGGCCCCTCGTCCTTCCTCGCCTGGGCTAAGCTCACCCCAGGCTCTGGGCTGCTCAGACTGGAACCCCGGGTGGCCCTGCTGAGCCTGTGGGGTCCTGCCACCCCGCCCCCATGGGCGCCTACCCCACGGGACGCGGCGGCTGCCCTCCCCGCTCGCAGCCCAGGAGCCCTCGTGGCCCTCAGCCACGCCTGCGCCACCTCAGTGCCCTGAGCCCAGGACCCCCCAGGTGGAGGGTTAGGAGCCATCTCTCTGGAG